CCATTGTCCCGGGGGAGCGTAAGACCCGGGTTTGCCGGGACTCGGGTTCGCCATCGTTTTTTGACGACCGCGACTCGGATTTTGACGAGGGGGAGTTTCGTGGGATGTCTGCAGCGGGAGGCCTCGTCAAAATGCAGGCTCGGCCTCGTCATTTTTTTGACGACCTCGTCGGGGATTTCCGAGTCCCCCGCACCCGGGTCTTACGTCTCCCCGATTGTCGACAGTTGGCAAAAGCAACGCCGCCGAAAGGGCTGCCGAAAGAGCCGCCGAAAGGGCCGCGGAAATTGCCGCCGAAATTGCCGCCGACATTGACGCCGAAATTGCCGCCGAAATCGCCGCCGAAATTACCGCCAAACTCTTCGCCGAAATTGCCGCCGAAATTCCCGCCGAACTTCCTGATTGCGCCGCCGAAAAGGCCAAAACATTGACCTTGGCGGTGGCTCAATGCCTGTGTCCGCGGCGTCATCGTGTTTAGTAAAGCAATGATTTCGCTAGGGGCAGGGCAACGACCATTTCGGCGGCTGAATTTCGGCAGCTATTTTGGCAGAGTTCGCAATTATGTCTGCGGCAATTTCGAATGCAATTTCGGCTGCAATTTCGGCGGCAAGGTCGGCGGCAATTTGGGCGGCAATTTCGGCGGCGATGTCGGCGGCGATTTCGGCGGCCATTTCGGCGGCGATTTCGCCGACGATTTCTGCGGCCCCTTCGGCGGCCCTCCTGACGGCCCTTTCAAGGACTATTTTGGTGGTTTTGCTTTTGACAGCGCTCGACGAATGCTGATGGGAGCACGCGGCACTCGGCTGCGGCAGAGAGTCGATGCGCGGCGACGCAGGCTGACGCGCCCTCGACGCAATGATGATTGTAACAGTTGTTATCTTGTGGTCTTGGCGGTGATGATGGTGACGGCCGCGGTGATGTTTGGTTCAAAATTAATGCTCGTCGGGGGGCGCGGCGGGCGGACTTGCGCGCCCAACATTGCGTGCTTTCATAAAAATAGAAAATTGCTGCGCAGCTCCGTTGGAATTCGGTGGCTATTCTGGGGGTCGCGGCGGCTCCAAAGCATGGCCCTCGGTGGCAACTGCCCCGCGCGCGGGAACTTCAAAACGCCGCGGATGTCGCGGCGCCGAGGCGCGCGAACGCATGCAAGTTTGCGGAGAACGAGAAGGGCGAGATGGAATGCGCCATCAGACTACGCCGGGCCCTTCGCGGCCCCATGGATGCCTAAGCCTTCGGCGTAGAGACCTTCTCGGGCGCAGCTCGTCGAGCAAGCCAGAGACCGCTCTCAAGCGCGGTTGCGCGCGAGATGTCGCGGATCATAGCTGATGCGGAAATCGATGGGGCTTTCTTGAAAGGTCTGACAAATCGTGAACGGGCTGTAGCCACTGGGGGGGATGAACGCACGGCTTGCTTCGCACCCCCACCTGGCCCCGCGTTGGTTCCCGCGACGATTTGTTTGAGACGAGCCCTAACCTCCTTCCTGCCAAGCGCGTGGACGACATAAACACTGCTGGAGTCGAGGACACGAGTGACAAATGGGTCAAGTGCGTGGAGAACACGTTCGGCGCATGTAAACTCAACGAACGCAGCTGCACGAATCGCACCGCGCGCTACACCGAGACCGAGGGCGGCCGCGTTCAGCTTGAGCAGCGCGATTACATCAAGAGCCGTCGCCCCGCGCAGCACCCAGAGCTCACCGGGGCCAGGGCCGAAGGAAAGGCGGCGAACATTGCGTCGGATGCGTTTTCCAGCATACGCGTTGCGTTTGCAGATGCCTTGATCACTCAAGCGTGGGTAGACTTGCTTCCGTAGCAGCGCGTCGAAGAACCAATTAGTGCAGTTCGACGACTCCGCTCCGCAGCGCGCAATCTACAACAGGGCCAAATAAAATAGCATGTCAAGTCGTGACTCCGACAGGAGAAGCGGACCAACATAGCGACGCAGGATATCGTCGCCTCGACGGCGATGCCTACGACGACGTCAAGGGGCATGGCATCCGAGGGGCCAACCTCCCACTGCGCGGGCGCGGGCCTAACGGTAAAGCAGTCGTACGCCTGATCGACGCCACTTGCACGTCACGCCTCTTGCAGGCGCGTTCCAGCTACTCTGCTGAAACATTGGCAGTGGCCCATAACTTGGAAGACTGCTACCCGACCATCGCGACGCTACACGAGCTGAAGGCTGGACCGATTACGTCGACACAGTTCAAGAACATCTTAGGTATAGGTCGCCTATGCATATGAAGTTATCCCCACCATCGGCATTCAAAACGCTTCCGAGCAAGGACTTGGATAAACCAAGTGAATGTACCTTGATAGGACAACCAGCTGGATCTGACAGATGATGGACCGAGGAATCGCTCATAGCGTAAAGTGGTGTGATACACGTGATGTGACGGCCGATGGTCATGCCAGAGGCTGTGCTGATCGTGAGCTGCTATTCCAAGTAACGACAGGTATACATTCATTCAGATATGAGGTAACGCGATACACGCCATACAGAGGGAACGAGGCATTACCCAGGTAGCCCTGCCCTATTCAGGGCTAGCGGATAATGCATACACGCAACTGCATTGCAGTTTCCGCATGCCCGGCCACGGGCCATGTGCCAGTATCAGCCCGGACACGGGCCTTTATTTTTACAACACGTTTTGATGCCTGAAGGTTTGACCCTAGCATCGCCGCCGGCCATGGTGAGTTGTCCCATCGCTGGCTCCGCTTGCTTTGTGCGTTATTGCTGTGTCGCCTGCGCCTTTGGAAATGATCGCCCTTCTCGTGTTTGTACCTTGCTGCTATATACTGTACAACTGGATTTTGACGTGGGTCGACGTTTGGTTTCTGCCCATCCTGACTGTGAAGGAAGTTCAAAGGGGCAAAGGCGATCATAGCGAGCGTCTTGCCTTCGTCCGCCGGTGTCTCGCTCAAAACAACGCTGTCCGATTTGAGTACTTCGCGCCAGCGAGGTACGGATAAATGAGACGTCCACATCCTTCGATGTTGCATCCTCTCATCTCATACCTTCTCTATCGTCGATCGTCCTGCTCTACAGTCAGGGATAAGCTATGGGATACCGAGATCCGTCTACGACGTCATCCTAAGCAGGGTTTCGGCTTACACCCTCCTGACCTTCGCTTTTCACTGGCGGAAGGCCGGCGGAAGTAAAACGAGGCCGCCTCCGCTGGCGGACGTTAGCTGACGGCCGTCGGAAGGTAGCGGAAGTAACATATATGCCCCCTGGAAATCAACAAGTTGTTGGGTTCATGGTTTCCGGAATCGGCCATTTGTTTCTAGGCCACCCATATGGGGTCCGAATAGATGGGGTCGGTGGATGGCGCCGCATCGCCGTTGCATCGCCGATGTGGCTCAATGTGGGGCCCTGTTTCCTTCGGGCCGGGCGAAAGGGGGGGATAGGGAAAGGGGGGGCTACGAAATTTGCTGCATGCAGCTGGTTCCGGCCTCGCCGAGGGGCCCATTCCTCGATACAGGGCCGCCTCCGGCGCTGGGAGGCGCCGGGAGAATCAGCTGCGCGAGCTGATTCTCAAACCCACCCCCTTTGCTATCCCCCCCTTTCGCCCGGCCTGATTCCTCCACGCTTGCGATGCATTGGCGATGCGGCGCAGTCCCCCGACCCCATCTGCTCGGGCCCCAAATTTTGGAGGCCTCTGAAGTCTTCATCGCGATTTGACCTCCTCCTTGCCTTGTCTCGGAGGACCCGCTGACCTCCGCCCTGCGCTCGGCCGTGCGCGCGGAGCTGGGCGACCTCCTCGCGGAGGGGGGGCCCCTGCGCCGCGCCGTGCGGAGCGAGGTGGAGGGCGCCATGGGGGGCCTCCGCGGTGCACCGGGCCTGGCCACGGCCAGGATTTCCCAGAACAGGAGGACGAGCGTGGAGGATCGGGCTCGGAAGAGGAAAAGGTACCCATACCGTTACCCTCCCTTCGTTCTGTTTTTTTGTTGGCCTCATGGGAAGCCCTCGTCGCCACCACTGGATTCGCTTCGGAAATCCTGGTCAGAACGCGCCCTAGGAGAGGTCGAGGAGTAGCGGTATCGGTACCTGTTGGTTTCCCCACCAGCAGTGGCGAAGCGTCCCGGCTTACCTGTAGGCCCACCACTGGATGTTCTAAGCATGTTTGATGGTTTGTGCGACACGTCTTTGTGACATGTTTGGCTGAAACCATTTCTTTTGAAGACATCGGCTCTATGCTATTAGAATATGATTTTTGTTCTGGGAACATTCTCGTTTTCTGAGAGCAGATCGTGGTAGGCTCATAGGGATGTTGGGACGGTCGGTCCCTGCTCAGGAGAAGGGCAGCACAGGGAGTTTGTCGAAGGACGAGGTGCCACAGAAGAGTACGAGCTCGAATGCGTTTGCGGTCGAGCACTTTTCGAAGTTCGTGGACACCATCACGGAGCTCGACAGAACCGAGCTCGAGTCCCTCACCACTGAGGACAACTTCGCTCGTGCCACGTACAACAGGATGCGCAGGCTGAGGACGCAGTGGAGAGAACTTGAAGAACCGCCCCGCTCGGGGTGCTTCGCTGACTTCGTGAATGGCAACTTCTTCGAGATCGCCGTCTCCTGTTTGATTATTTTCAACGTTCTGTTCATGGTCTATAGTACAAACCTGGAGATGCAGAACCCACATAAAAACTACGCAGCAGTGGAGATTGGCAACTTGATGTTTCAGGCGGGCAGCGCGATCAAAAAGGGCACGGTCTTGAATACATGCATGCGTGAGCTGCCCGCGTAAGCTGCGCGGAGGACCACCGCGCGAGCTGTTGCGCAAGCTGCCCGGACTTGAGGACCTTAGAGGCTCGGTGGTAGAGGAGCTGTAGCTGAGGCCTCTCTGCAGGGCGCAGCACCTGAATGTGTTTCCATGTCGCGTCTCACCACTGAGTGCTCTGTCTGATGTTGCATCCTGGTTTCCGGGCACATCCAGAGAGGACACCGCAGCGTCCAGTCATCGTTCGTTCACATATATATATATATATATATATTTATACACATTATTCATTATCCCAGTGTAGCGCGAGGCGTATCAAGTTATGCTGGAACAGGGCTGACCAAGGGTCGAGACACGGGCGCGCCCAACGATCGCTGCCGTCAGCTCGACGGGCGGGCCCTTGGGCCGGTGCGTGCGACAGGCCCTGACGCTGAGCTTCGCGGCGCTGCACCTTGTCAAGGTCGTCAAGCTCAGCCACCTGCTTCTGAGGTAGCGGAGGGTAGCGGGCTGGGCAAGCACGAATGGCTTCCCAGCACGCTGGCCGGCGGGCGTCGCAAAGGTGCGGCAGCAGCCGAAGGCGTAAAGCGAACACGGCGTGGCACACCGGGCAGGTCGCATCAGCGCCGGCGTAGCTTCTCTGTAAGCACCGGACATGATGTCGAATTCTGAGATGCTGGTCACGCGCCTTCGCCGTCGCGAAGCGCGCGTCGCACTGGTGGCAAGCAAATGGGCGGGTGCCGCCTCCGACCGGAGCGGCGCCGCCACGGTCACAGCAAGAGTCGGTGAAAAACAACATGCTCACGGCATTTGCCCAGCGCGCTGGGGAGTCGCTGATGAACGTCACCCAAGCGCTCGCGGTACCCTCCGGCGGCGGCAGCGTGCTGCACAGGGCAACGAGCTCGCGGAGCTTGCCCAGGTCGGAGACGAGCAGAGTGACCCAGGGCAGGCGCGCTCCGCCAGGCCGCGCGGCGAGCAGGGCCAGCAGCGCGGGCGGTGAACTACGCACCAGGCGCCCTAAGTAGCGGAGACGGGCACGCATCACCAGGCAGTCCAAGCTGGGCTGCTTGAGCCGCGTGCGTATCTCGAGGTCCGTTTCGGAGTGGCCGAACCGCGGGGCGTCGCCGACTCGTCGGAGCACCCGCATGTACATGCCGTTGAGCACCTGCAGATATCGCCTCGTAGGGACGACCACGTGCACGTTGAAGAGGAGGCGGCTGAGGACCAACGAGTGCATGAGCCAGATCTTCAAGCTGGCGTCCATGACCACCGAGCCGAAAACCTTGCTCGCTAGAGGCCCATAGCTCATGGCCGCCTGCTGTCTCAAGTGGTTGGCGCCTGGGGCCGCGGCGCCAGTGGCGCTCACCGCGCCGCCGAGGTGCTTATAGGTGGTGACCACCAGTAGTAGTACCCCAGGTCGGGGTACAGCGACTGCAAGACCTCCGTCGGGAAGCACCCGGCGTCGCTGTAGTCGGGCGGTGGCCCCGTGGCCTCGGTACGTGAGGAAGCACTCGGACTTGCCCGCTTTCCAATTGATGGTCAGGTTCAGGCGGTCGTAGATGTCACACACCGCGTGCAGCACGACGTCGACGGCAGCATCCAGCTCCTCGGGCAGACGCGCCGTGAGCATGAAACGCTCGTCGTCGACGAACGCGGCGTCCACGAGAGAGACGACCTCTGGGTCGGCAGTCGGCACGGCGGGATCAGCATCCCAGAAAGCCGGGGACCCAGCCCGCAAGCGGAGCAGGATGCCGGCGTCCAGGAGAGCGTCCCGGATCAGCACCATTGCCAACGAGAACGTGCCGTTGAAAACCATGGCGCCCTACTTGCACCCCTGGCAGCCGCCAACGCGTGCGACGATAGCGGTGTCAACGTCACCGTAAGAAAACCATGAGGCCGCGTGGAGGTTTTTGAGCAGGCGGATGACTTTTGGGCTAACGCCCCACTGGGCGAAGAGGCAGCCATGCCGTGCCACCCACTGCGCGATCCATGCGGATTGGTCTGGGTTGAGGCCCAGGGATGCGAGGTAAGCCTCAGGGTCAGTTGCATCGCAGGGCCATCCAAGCACCACCTCCCTCACGATGCGAACGAACGCCTTCACGAGGTCAACGAACCATACAAACGACGACCGTCGAGTCGCATTGCAGTACGCTTGGAAGCTGTGCACGAGGTGAGCGGCATAATCAGTCCCCCTGCCGGCGACAGCGCCGTGCTGCACCTCGGGGATATTGTCCTGGTAAGGGCCAGTGACCATGTGGCTGAGCAGCTGCTTGAGGCCTTTGGCGGCGCCTTGGGCTTCCTGGGAGCTTCTTGGGGGCCTCCGAGAGGCCTCTTGCCTCCTGGGGGTCTTCTCGGGCCTCTTGGGAGCCTCTTGGAAGCTTCTGCGAGCCTCGAAGGGACCTCTTGGCCGTGGTTCCATATTTGGGCGCTTGAGGGCCGTCTCGGAGGTCTACCAGGCCGTGTTTGTTGGGCCGCCTTGGGGCCCTCTGGGAGTCATTTTGCAGACCTCTTATGGACTTCCTGGGCCGTCTTGTAGCGATCTTGGGGGCCTATGTGGCCGTCTTGGAGCGTCGGAAGCCCGAAAAGCCCAGAACGCTAAACCCATGGAAACAACTTAAGAACATCAATATTTTTGGGCGTCTGGAGGTCCTCCTGGAGCACTCTTGGGGCGTCTTGGGGCCTCTTTTGGGACGTCCGCAGGAAATCTTGGGTCGTCTTGGGTCCAATTTGGCCGTCTTGGAGTCGCCTTGGAAGCGTCTTGGACGCCACCTTGGGCCATCTTGACCGTCTTGGAACATTTGGTGAGGTGGATCCTCTCCACGCCGCGATTGCCGCAGCGTCTTCCCTGACCGAAGACAAGCTACACAGTCGGCAGACGCGCTGCTCGTAGACGTGAAGCTGGTTCCTCATGTCACTCAAGCCGCCTCCTATCTAATACGAGATACAGCCGATTCTTCTTTTGCCCAGCCTTCCCCAACAGTTGCTGCCTCGCATTGAGCTGGCGCCTGGGAATCAGGAGAGTCACTAACCTCGTAACCAGACCCGGTATGAGCCACACAAGGTGCCATATGCGTGTTGTAATGTGTTTAATTTACCCTGGTGGGTGCAAGGCACGATGTTTGAGCGTTCCCCAGGTGTGTTACACAGTCGAGCTGATCATGAAGCTATTGGTGCATCGTCAGTGGTTTTTCGTCAATGAGTCATGGAAGGTTAACCTGTTCGATTTCATCTTGGTGATTACGGGATTCGTCACCATGGCAATCGGGTCTAAAGGGGCCAGTTTCATTAGGGTATTTCGTTTGCTCAAGTTCGGGAAAGCGATTAACGCCCTCAAGGTTATGGCCTACATGAGGCATCTGCGAGCTCTCATTGTTTGTCTCCAGGGCTCTGTGGCGAGCCTCTTTTGGAGTCTGCTGATGCTGTTCATTGTGTACGCACTCTTTTCCCTTTTGATGATGCAGCTGATCGTCATGCACCTCCAGGAGTCAGGTGAAGCCCCGGAAGAGGCTGGCTTCGAATTATTTGGGTCGGTCCAGCAGTCAATCCTCACGCTTTACATGGCATCCACAGGTGGTGATGATTGGAGTACTGGGTACCAGGTGATCCAAGTGACAGGCCCTCTTGGCGTTGCCGCATACCTGTTCTTCATCTCCTTCGTGCAATCATTGACGTTACGCGTATCCCCACCAGCCCATCCAGAAAGGATGCCCAGGCGAGTTGATTTAAACAGGGAATTGTAGGAGCAAGCAGTGGAACATAGAGAGGGGGCAGCCTTTAAACCGAAGATCACGATCAGCCTCAGCAGGTCTGGTCCAGGAATCAACCATAATTGCCTTCGCGGATCTTTCGATATGGGAGCTTCTTGGCAGCTTGCCTGGGCCATCTTGGGACCCTCTTGGGGCAATTTTGTAGGCCTTTGGGGCTCGCTTGGGGCCCTCTCGGGGCGGTCCCAGGTCGAACCCCGAAAACCGCCTCAAACCCGAAAGCCAACAGGGCGAACCCCAGAATGCCGGTAGATGCCAAACCCGAAAACGGGACCCGAAACCCTTATCACGAGGGCGTCGCCCCAAAGGGGTTCGAGTTTGCTGTGGTAATTTATGAAATACCTGGCAGGAGTTGGAGGCTGCCGCGGTAGTGTTGGACAGGATGCGTGGAGGCGACGGTGGACGGCGGCGACGATACTTGCGGTAGGTTTGGAAAGGACGTGCGGAGGCCACGGGAGCGATGGCGGCGGCGACGAACATGGCGAGGAGGGAGTTTGGGGGGCGGTGCGGAGGGATGCCGAAGGGCAGTTGGTTGTCGCTGGCGACGGCCGTGCCCGCGACAACGACGACGAGGAGCGACGGCGAAGTGAAGCGCGGATGGATGAGGAGGGGGAGGATGGGTAAGGGTCCGGAGGAGGGCTGCCTTCGCTTTTGCTTCTCCCTCCTCCTCTCCTTGCCGGTCCTCTGCATGTCCTCCCTCCTGCACCTGCGATTCTTTCGTTTCCCCTGATGTTCGCCCTCTCTCCCTGGCCTCCTCCTCCTCCTCCTCCTCCTGTACCTTTTTTTTCCCTGGCCTCCCATTGTTCCTTTCTCCTATCTCTCTTGTCCCTTCTCGTCTCCCATTGCCCTTCCTCCTGCTCAAACTTAACTCCTTCTCCTCGTTCTCCAACCCCTCCAAGTCGAATTTCCCCAGGCGGCTTCGGGAAATCGGCGCAAATCCAAAAGATGGATCTGGATGCCCAAAACAGGGACCCGGACGCCGAAACCGAGCTTCTGGACCCAAGCGCCGAAAACGGGAATCCAGATGCCGAAACCAAGAATTTGGACCCCGACATCTGGGGTTTGGTATCCAGTCGGCAATTTGGTTAGCGGAGTGGGGAAAAGGCAGGAGAGAGAAGCGGAAAGGGAAGAGTAGAGATAGTTTCAAGCGGTTCAGGAGGAGGTCGTCGTCGTCCTTGTTCTCGTTGTCGTCCTTCTTGGCGTCGCCGTCGTCGTCGTCGTCGTCGCCGACTTCGTCGTCGGCGTCGGCGTCTGCGTCGGCGTCGGCGTCTACGTCTACGTCGGCGTCGTCCTCGTCCTCGTCCTCGTCCTCGTCACCGTCGTCGCCGTCACCCTCGTTGTCGTCGTCGTCGTCGTCTCCTCTGTCGCCGTCCTCGTCGACGCCGTCGGCGCCGTCGTCGTCTTTTTCGTCATCGTCATCTTCGTCGCCGTCATTTAAATCGTTGTCGCCGGCGCGGGCGGGCGGGCGGGCGGGCGGGCGAGCGAGCGGGCGGCGGGCGGGCGCGGCGAGCAGACGTGCGCGCGGCCGAGCGGGCGGGCGGAGGAGGGGGCGCGCGGCGGGCGAGCCAGTGGAATGGTGTGTGCCATGACGTCTTGCGTGGCCACGTGGCCACTGGGGTCAGGCAGCATGGGCTGCCGCTCCCCCGCGCTGCCACGCCACGGGCCCAGCGGAAGGGTCTGCGCGCGTGCCCCGGTGCGTTTGCCACGGGGCGAGGAGAGCAGAAAACGGCACGTCGTGTCCACCCTGCCGGCGCATCTCTTTGGCGAGTAGATCGGCGTATTCGGTTCCGTCACGTGCCTTGCCACTGGCCGAGTAGCGTAGAGTACATTGTGCTTTCATCCGCGTATGCATTGCCATCCGACGGGTCGAGTAGTATGTGAACCAGCGCGTTTCCCAAACAGTGCATGCTCTAGCGATACGTGTTGTGCAATATATATGTGGTGCGATATATGCTGTGCAGTCTATGTGGTGCAATGTATGTGGTGCAACCTGTGTGATGCCGTCTACGTTGTGCGCTTTACACGTTAAGCAATATATGGTGTACAGTCTGTGTTGCACAATCTATGCTGTGCAGTATATCTGGTGCAAAATATGTGGTGCAGTTCATGTGGTGCTATCTGCGTGGTGCAACATATGTTGTGTAGTATATGTGGTGCAATACAGGTTTTGCCACAGATGTGGTGTAATATGTGGTTCTTCTTTACGACGCCCTGTGTGTTTCATATACCGTTTTGCATTTGGGGCTCTTGACAGGCCAAAAACATTATAGAAAAAACGAAACAATTGTTTAGCGTTTTTAGCTTTGATTTCTTCAGCGTTTTGAGGCCCGTCGCTGTGAATCATCATTGTTTTAGCGTTTGTTGCTTTCTGGTCGAAGGCTGTTCCTTGTCTTCCCTGCTGTCTTCACTCCCATTCTTCCTTTCTGCCGCCGTTCTCCCTCGCAGAGGTAAAAGCGCGCAGAGCAGAAAAAACGCTCCAACACCGGTCTAACACCGGGCCCCAGGAGGGGTTCAGAGGACGGCGAGCAGTCGGACTGAGAGTGCACCAGGGCTGAGGACTGCAAGCCAGGAGAAAGAAGGGAGGACGTCGTAGACGGCACCGTATGCAATACATTCAGTTGAAGACGCTCGAAAAAGTGCACCAAAACCCAAACAATTGTTTGTTTCAGCGTTCAAGATTTCTCTTTGGGACCTACAACGCTACAGCCATGATTTCAACACGCCGAGTTCAAAACGGAAGACAAAACGTCCGGGGCTTTAAAGAAGAGCCAAGATGTCATATGTGTTGTCCGAAATAGGTGGTGCAATATATGTGGTGCAACGTAGATTGTGCACATTATGTTGTGCAAGATATGTTGCAGATTTGGTGATGTGCAAGTTATGTTGTGCCACCCAAGTGGTTCAATCTGCGTCGTGCAGCTTACGTGATGCAACCTACGTTGTGCAATTCAGCCTGTCGAACTTGAAGTTGTCAACTCCACTGCTCGCGCAATCATCCCACCCACCCAGCCGCAACTTGGTTTGCAAGCCCCTGCGGCGGCGATTGCGATGA